CTTCAATCCAACAATACAAAGAGAGCCTATTTATAGCCAAAGACAAAAATGTGCAAAGGGCGGAACAGCAACATCGGAAAGATGTGTAGTTACCTCTAGAGATGTTCATTACTTAAAGCTGAGACCAATGCTCCTGCAGGTCTCTGCTTTATCAGAGCTGAACTAGGTGAAAGTTAAAATTTCACTTTGGGCGAACGACCCGGCTCCTGTCCCCTGAAAGCCTGGCAGGAGAGCAGCACTGGCCTTGGTGGTCAGGCTGCTGTACTGCTGCCATTCCCCGTGGTCAGAGTTGAATCACATGGAAGAAGGAGCGTGGAGGGCTGATGTGGACATGTAAGGAGTAACTTCCCCCTCAAACTTTCTTCCTAACCTCTTTGTGGAGGAGTGTGTCTTTGCCTTGCAGTGGTTTCATTAAAGAAAAGACTCCATGTCTGACAAGAAGATATTCAGCATTCAGTACTGAGACTGCTATAAATAGGGCCCTTACTTTTAAAGTTTGAAGCTGTCCTGATTTTCATGTGGTCCAGCCTCATTTTGAAGAGGAATATCTATTTTAATATCTGGTTCAGGTCTTAAGTACTACCTGTATATTACAAAAACTATACAGTGAAAATATTCACAGGAGTGTTGGGCCAAATCATGCAATCCTTAAACTGACAAGAGTTCTGTAAGACTGCATGCCTGGCCCCACATAATCCCTTGAAGGACTTAACAGCATGGCACGTAAAACTTGCTGTGAATAGGCTTCTGAATATTTCAAATGGAGAAGTCTCTATTCTGATATTCTCAAATATGTGGATGCTCTTTGCCAAGTACATTAAGTTAATCTTCTGCACTTACAATAAGATGTGACAGGGTGTTTTTTTTTTTTTGACACACTAGGCAGCATGCACCCAAATATTTGAAACGAGGACAGCAATTAAAGTCTACATTTATACTGATGTGAAAGATACCAGACTTATTAACTTAGCTATAGTATGGTATAATACACATTTAACATAAGATTTAACCCCAGTTAAAATTGCCTGGTAATATGTATCAGGTAATATGATAGTTTGGTAAAAGCTTTACAGAAAAAAAGCCTGAGTAAGAAATCTGGAAGTATTGCATGTCCAGATATAATGGGAATTGTTTCAATGGATCGATTGTATCTGAGACACTAAATATGCCAGATAAACAGCATACTACCACATTTTATTACTTAAAAAAAATTTCCATAATTACTACATATTTCCTCCCAATATTTTTTTATTTGTGCATATATAGAGAATGATTTAAGATGCCCAGGCCTTAAAACAGGGTTATCAAAACAATAAGACTATGGCGTTAGTAGTACTGAATAATATATAAGGTAATGATCAATAGTGCCTTATAGGGAATACATTTCATCTTTACATTATCTGGGCTATAATTTTTCCCTGTTGGCTTCAATTGGTGCTGTGTTAGATTTATGTGATTCATGCCTGTTATTGATTAGCGCACAACTATTTTGTGGGAGATGCCAAATTAATTGTTCAAAAAATCCATGAAAGTGCTTTTTTATTGGCCATGTGAGGCTCAACACATACTATGCTGTTATTTTATTATTTCATGTAAATGTAGTTTCCAATAAGCTTTAAAAATAGTTACACGGTGTGCTTAGACATGAAAATTCCCAGAGTATGTTGAAAAATGCTACTCTGTGGTTCGTTTTGTGGCTCAGAAAGTAGCGTAAGGCAGAAATGTGCTTCTGAATGTTGCTGGATAACTCCTGCGAGATCATTACGGTTTTACATGAGCGCTCCCAAATAGGAAGCAATTTCCGTTTTTTTTTTGCACAAGACTTCTAGGTTTATGCAACGCTTGGCTCGTAGCATCCTGATTGAAGGGGTAAGCAATTTGCAGGGAAGGCTGCCAGCACACCCTCCCCTCCAAGCCCTCAGAACCCGATGAGCTGATACTTGATGCAGATACTTGCTGTACCCTGCACACTGGTGCTGAACCAAGGAGGTTTGCAGAAGCAGCACTTCTCTGCAAAATGTTCTTATCTCCAGCGCACAAATGTCTGTGTGAGCTTGCTGTTACGCGCATGGGAAGGCTCAGTCTTTTATACGCTGTTACTTAGGTTTAGAATATTTTAACTTTTGATTATGAGTGAAAAATAACACACCAGGGAGAATAGTTGCTATCTAGACAGTAATGTGTGAGACTCTGGACTATACTAAGGATTTTAATTTCTCAAGCCTCTGGAAGGATCATACTGTGAGTAAATCTTTCCCCATATTCATTGATGCATGGAAGTAGATCTTTTGGTTCCATGTGTAACATCGTTTTAATCTCACAATTCTGTTTCAAATGTATTCTTTCAGAATTTATTTTGCAAGACAAATTTCATAGGTTCTTTAATACTGCTAATTTTGGCAATCTGGAAACTCGGGCCTTTTATTTCTTTGAATGTATTATTTGTTGTGCAAATCAAAATACGACTGAGATTTGGATCTGTGCTTAGAAATGATGGGAAAGATTGATACTTTTAATTTGATACATTAAGGCTGTCCCCAATGCATTATTCTAGCAGAGACTCAAAGGACTTCAAATATCGTACTTTGAGGTATATTAATTATTCCTCATTTTCCTCCAAACAACTCTGAAAATGGGAAAATGCCTTTGAAAATGGCTGCATGTTGCTCAGAGATCAGTCACATCTGGAAGCAAAATCTTGCAGTGTAAACAATATGTACATTGTTTGTTTTTTTTTCCCCTGCATTTTATAGGTATACTGGAATTTATCAGTATAGCAGTGGGCTTGGTCAGCATCCGAGGAGTCGACAGTGGACTCTACCTTGGAATGAATGAGAAAGGGGAACTGTACGGCTCGGTAAGTTCCCACTAGCCTTGGGCAGTCGTGATCCTTACATTCCGTGGGAAAAATACTTGCTAGCTCCTACCCTGTTGCACTAGGTGCTGTGTGAGCACTGTTTCTGCTTTAGCTGTCTCACTGTCTAATATGAAACAAGACCCTGTGGGTGGTATAAGGAGCATGGGAGAGGAAGGTGACAAAAGTCAGGAACGAGCAATAATGCAAACAGGTGATAATTTAGGTGCAAGCAATAGAGACTGATGGCTAGAGCAAGTCACTGAAGACTAAAGGATATACTTTAAGATTTGTAAACATGTCCTTTCAGAAGAGATAAACTGAGGCAAAATCGCTGCCTTTTGTGCGTAGGCAGAGAGCTTTCTAGGAATCGACAAAAGAGAGGAGGAGGTAAAGGGTGACGTGTGTGGTTCAGAAAATGAGAAATAGGACTGGATAAAAGTTATAAAAAGTATAGGAACGAGGGCAAGTGGCTTGGTGGTCTTGTCCTGAAAGTTCAATTGGTGCTCTCTGAGGGATGGCAGCAGGAGTGAGCAACGGGTGTGAAGAAAGGCTAAAACTTGCTATTTCAGACTTGAGAGTTAGGCTGGCAAACCAGGCTACCTGCAGCTAATGGGTGACTGTTCTCAGCAACATGGGCTGTTTTGCAGAAGAGGGGTGTGTGTGTGCGTGCATGCGTGCACAGTGTGACCTTTACCTGGGAATACTTGAGACATTTGATGTACACTGGGGTTTACACCCTGGGTAGATTGTGGGGGAATCTGAAACTGAGCAGGGGGAATCTGAAATACTAAAAGGCAAACTCTTCTGGCACTGAAGCATCAACCTTCAAAATTCGCGAAGATTAGAGAGGCAGTTGCATTTGAGGAAGAGAATGGCAGGTGAAGGGTAAGCAAATGTCTGAAGTAAAGAGAGGCTGCGTATTCACTGGGGTTCATTAGAAGCACAGAGGAGAAGGTGACAGTGGTTGACTGATAATGTAAACGTATCAGAGAGGCATGCAGAAAGGAGTTATAGAGAGTGGCTTTGAGTATAGCTGAAGGTACCTGTGTCAGACGGGAGTAAGAGTAACTGGAAAGAGAGTGGGGAGGGAACTGAGTGGAACAGGAGTGAAATTGGGAGAAAATATGAAAAGATGGTGATGAGTGGGCAGTGAGGAGTAAGGAGTAAGAGGGAAGTCCAGCTTCCATATACATGATCCATGGAGGAATGTGGAGGAAGCAAGACCAGGAAGGTCCAGAAGAGGAATTTTTGGAGAGGTGTCCAGGTTCACTGGTGCTTTTCTAATAATATTTTGCGTGAGAGAGGGAAGGTAGAGAGGGGAAGAAGACTGTCTTCTGAGTGAAGAGCAGGCTAGATGAGGTAGCCAGATGGTACAGATCATGGCAGAAAAAGAGGTGGTAGAATGAGGGGCAAGGCTGGAATGGAGAATGTGTGACTTTGGGGAAGAGGAGATATAGAGATAGTGAGAACCAATGAGAGGGAAAGGCCGAAGTAAAGGGATTTAGCAGAAATGGTGTTATGGAGGAGGAAAAGGTTGGAAGTATGGAGAGGAAGAGAGAAGGAGAATGGGTGCAATGACAGATGTAAACATGTTAGTAAGCTGTCAGAAGTTGAAAACCTTGTGCAGCTGATGAATGGGATAAAGAGCTAGTGAAGTCATGAGTACCTTTATGGTTCAGTTAGGCAGCTAAAAGGCAGAACAGCAACAGTAATATGAATCAGTAATGTTGATAATAATCAGTAAGAATAATTATTTAAACAAATAAACATAGTGAATCAGTTGCTCTACACTTCAGATATTCAGAAAAAGAAAATGTGGTTATTGATAGAGCTTAAACGCATAGGCTTGGGAAAGCAAATGTTAGATCACTTTTCTGTGCAATGTATATTTTGTGCTTGCAATATGTTTGACTGTCAGAGCAAATTACTCAAAATATTCTTTGCTGAAGAAATATGCATGAGAAATTATTTGTAAATTACTAAGCTCACAGCGTTAATAAAACAATTGTTCTATGAATAGCAGTTCTAAAGGAGCCTGCTCTCCTAGGGGTTTGTGTCTCTCAGTCCAAAACATGGGTCTCCCTGACCTTCTGTCCCTGCAGCCTTTTGTGTTTCTTGCATGGAGAGAAAGACTGTATTAGCTGTCCACACTCACTGGACTGTCAGTTTGCAGGGATTACATAGCTCACCACTCCCAAGTGGGACATGCAAATGATTTCTCTTCTTTACCCTGCCTCTGATTAGTCACAAAACTGATAGTAACTTAATTTTCTTGAAGACCTTTGTCTCCTGATTGAAACTAGTTGAAAAGCTAAGGAAGAACGGACAAGGCAGATGAATGTACCATATAATTGGATAACCTCTTTTCCGTAAGAAATGACACTAAAAATATGAAGCCATTCATAATGGAGAACTGGCAATCTGTAGGGCCAGAATGCAAAGTTCAGGTTAAAATCTGATGGATGGTATGGCTTACTGTCAGCTTGCAGAGATGAGACATCCTAAAGAGTGATGGTAATTGAATTACATTACTTCCAATGAAATATAACCTCTAATGGCTACTCAGTGTGATGATGCTTTAAAGCCGTGTCAACACTAGCAATCCTAGTGCCTATATTTCAGCAACTGTCAACTCTCGTAGAAACACTGAGATAAGCAGGCCTCAGATCAGATTTTTATGTAGAATTGGCTGGACATTTTTAAGTGACAGTGTTTTGCTTTTAGTCTTGGTCAAAAAAAAAAAGTGCAATTAATTGAAAATGAAGTTCTCTGATGTGAACAAATATTGTGGTTTGATCCAGAAGTAAGGTGCAATCCAGCACAGACTTATCTTTCTGGCAAAAGAAAAGATCAGTTAAGCAGGAATTAGTTTTGAGACTGTTACACGGTAGAGTCAGGTTCAAGTTTTTCATCTGAATTAACTGGAGTGGTGACTCAAGCTGAGCTGTTCTGTAGCACCTGCAAGTTGTCCTTGTGCTGCCTGTGCTGGAATGTGGGTCCCTCTGTTTTAGTTTCTTCACCAAGGGCTGTGAACAGCACCAGCTTCATCATGGAGCAGATACACTTATGAAGCTGTAAATGTGTTTCCCATGAACAACTGAATAGCAATCTAAGAAATACCTGGCATTGATCTACATCAGCATTATGGATTTAAGCAAGTGTGTTTCTGCAGGTCTGTTACTGCAGCACTTCACACTGCTGGAATAGATACCCATGTCTATGACACTATCATATTTCTATTCAAATTACTGCATGAAAAATATATTATGTGTGAATCAAATCAGCAGCCTAAATTCTATTCTTCTATATTTGTGTTTGAAACATTTGGCACAGGAAGATTTTTCCCAGCATATTTGTGGTGCCACTGGAGATGGGACATATGGCAAAGCAGAGCAGCCAGGATGGGTGTTCACTGCCAATTTTCATAAAAGGCAACAGTAAAGGCAGTTTCAGCATATCTTGTTCCAGACATGTTCCTCTTGACCTTCTCAAAATGATACTTTTCTCCTAGATTAGTTGCCTGACAAACTCTTCCCAACTGGCCATCCTTACAGAGGAAGTTCCCACTGCATGTTCTGGTTAAAGAGCACAGTGATCCTGATGCTACTCTTGGGCAGCAACATAGAACATATGCTGCCTCTTCTCAAGTTCCTCCTCATCCCATGGATTTAGCCAGGGAAAGGTGGAGATATGTGTATGTGGTACTGCAGAGAAGCCAGTGGTAGCTGCATGGCGATGACTTGGTGGCTGGTTAATGACAGCAGCTTTCCCTCCCATCTCACTCCTGTTCCTGCTCTCCCTTTACCTCGCCTTCCCCTTGCAGCCTGCAGCTATGACTCATCATGTTTCACAACAGCTACTGTGCTTGTCACTCAAGAGGAGGAAAAATCCAAACTAGGACCTGAATAGGACCTGAAGGGTGTTAAGATGAGACATGAAGACCTTTTTCCTTCCTGAATGCCAAATCACTCTTGCCAACACCGCTGGCAAGAATGTTAGCAAATGTGTCTTAGCTGTGCTCCTTGGTGCCATGCCATGGAGTGAGGGAGGTCTTTCTGATCAGTCCCATGACCTTCGTGCCTTCATGGGCTGTTCCCACCTCTCACTGCCCTGCACTGCTGCCCTTGGGAATATCAACAGTTGGCACCTACATGGCCAGCAGTGCTGAGCACCCATACCATGGGGTGCCCATGGTTCACACGGCAGGCTGCTCCCTGAGGCAGTCCTGTGCTACCTTGAACATAGCAGGACCATGGGTCGCCCTCACCTCATTTGCTTTTGCTGTCTCAGGCTCTCGGTAGTAGAGAGCCGAACAACATCCCACTGCTGGCATCCCTGCCCTGCCAATCTCCCATGGACATGGACCTGCCTCACTTCTCTTCTTAGACTAGATATAAGGAAGAAATTTTTTAGATGAAGGCTGTGGAACCCTGAGGCCGGTTGCTTAGAGAGATTGCAGATGCCCCACCCCATGAAATATCCAAGGTCAGGCTGGACGGGGCTTTGAGCAACTTGATCCAATTGAAGATATCCCTACTCATTGCCAGGGGATTGAACTAGATGACCTTTAAAGGTCCCACCCAACCCAAACCATTCTATGATGTCTCCATTGCTCCTTGTGTCCTTGGCAGGTGGCAAAAGGCAGCTCAGGTTGGATGCTTAGGAGGAAAATTGGGAGTTGGAAGATTTGAAGCAGCTGCAAGGGGAGCTGTGCAGGGGAGAGGTGGAAGTAAGGAAGGGAGATGATAGAGTTGTTGGGGATGGGGGAAAGGACCAGGAGTGCTGGGAAGGAGATGGGAGGGAGGCTAGGGAGAGAGAGGCTTCATGTGCCCACAGGGCAGCTGGGACAGAGCCAAAGAGCCCAGATCCGGAGCCAGGGAGGGAGGTTCCTCTGTGTTTCAGACATACAGGGTGTGTATAGCAAAGTGAGATTTGGGACTGCTTATTACAGGATAATAAACTGTTGTCCTTCAAAAACTAAGTGAAAACTTGTTTGTACC